GAGTTTTGACACGACCCCCCCCCCCCAATGTCTGACCCACGTGTCTCCGCGGGAAACCCGACCCGTGTGCCCCTGATTCCCCCCCTTGAACCCGGCGGGGCCGCCCGGGGCCCTTCTCTCTGAGGCCTCGGCAACCTGGGCCCCCAAACCAGGAGGCCAGGTCTCCCCGGGGCTCACACCGGCTCACAGGGTCCCCGGCGACCAGGCTGGGCCCCCGCGGCTCCAGACCCGCGGGCCCATTTCACAACCCGTCCCCGTCCCCCCCCCCCCACCCCGCCACCCCATCCCCACCCCCACCCTGTCCCCGTCCCCCCCACCCCGTCCCCGTCCCCCTCCCCGCCACCCCGCCCCCACCCACTCTGTCCCCGTCCCCCCCCCAGGCCACCCATCCCCACCCCACCCCGTCCCCCTCCGTCCCCCCCCAGCTTGTCCCCCCCATCCCCCCGGGCCACCCCGCCCCCGGCCACCCCGTCCCCGTCCCCCGCACCACCACCTTATCCCCCCCTCCCCCGTCCCGCCGGGCCACCCCGCCCCCAGCCACCCAGTCCGGGGAAGGTCCTCGGGGAGAGGCGGGCCCGCGGGGGAGCAATGGCTCCCGGGGCAGCGCCGATGGCCACGCCGGCCGCAGGGAGGGCGGGCACCGCGGCGGCAGGGGGAGGCGGGAGGGGGAGGGGGAGGAGGGTCGGCTTGGTCCCCGTGTGAGGGTCACGGGGCGCTCTCCTCCCGCCCCCTCTGGGGACCGAACAGGACCTCCTGGTTCACAGGTGGACGCAGCCACACCGCCGGGCTCTGACGTGTTTTGCTGTTTGTTTTTAAATATATATTTTGTTGACTTTTTGCGGAGAGGAAGGGAGAGGGATAGAGCATTAGAAACATCGACCAGCTGCCTCCTGCCCACCACCCACTGCGGATGCGCCCGCAGCCAAAGTACACGCCCTTGACCGGAATGGAACCCGGGACCCTTCCGTCCGCAGGCCGACGCTCTATCCACTGAGCCACACCGGTCAGGGCTGAAGGTCTCATTGATGCTTTCCCTCTCTCGTTTCTTTTTAGTCTAGTGCTTTCTGTTTACCCAGGAGATGTGACTGTGCATCGCTGCAGGATTGCATTGTATTTATTTTGCTATTATTACTGTTTTAATCCTCACCGGAGGTTGTTTTTCCACTGATTTTAAGGAGAGTGGAAGAGAGAGGGAGAGACACATCGATGGGTTGCCTCTTGCATACGCCGACCGGAACTTGGGTGGGGGAGGAGCCTGCAACCGAGGTGCATGCCCTGGACAGGAATCGAACCCTGAACCATTCGGTCCACAGGTCGACACTCTATCCACCGAACCACACCGGCAAGGGATCGCATTGTCTTAAAAAACAAAACAAAACAAAACAAAACAAAAAAACAAGGTTGCTACCACAATACCCAAAGCAAAATGACCAATGTTATAACCGGCCGTTTTCTGTCATTCTCACCGGTTTTATTGGTTGGTGTAGACCCGGGCCATCATTTGGGCAAACGAGACTGGCACGTTCTTCCTGTGCCTCTCATGCTTCCTTCTCTCAGGCCGTTGTGGACGGGCAGGCTGGCACTGATTTTGCTAATTCTCAGGCTCTTACAGAACAAAACAAAACAAAACAAAGTAGCAACCAAGTTTCGGTTGAGTTTAGTGGAGTTTAGCTCAGACTGCGGCCGCCTGGGCCACATGGCTACATTGTCACCACGGCAGCAGGTGACATGGCTACAATGTCACCATGGCAGCAGGTGATATGGTTACAATGTCACCATGGCAACAGGTGATATCGATACACTGTTACCATGGCAGGTGATATGAATACAATGTTACCGGCAGGTGATATGGATACAATGTCACCACCTAAGCTGGGGGGGTGCTGCTGATACACTGTCACCGCTCAGTAGCTGCCTCCCAGGAGCTGTGGAAGGAAAAGCTGGTTGTTTGTTAATGAGCCTCGATGTTCAAAGCCAGCAAAGCAAAAGTGTTTCCTGAGGGAGTGAGCGGAGGGGGCCCCCCTCAGCCTCTCACCCCCCATCCCTGGAGGCCCCCGGTGTGCCCCGCCGGGGGAAGGGGGGACAGTGGCTCTCACCCCCCATCCCCAGAGGCCCCAGGTGTGCCCCGCCGGGGGAAGGGGGGACAGTGGCACCCGCCGGGAGCTTGTCACTTGGGATCAAAGTCGGCACCTGCACCTCATAACCACGTCGCTTACCTTTTAAGGCGGAGGCTGATTCATGGCCTGTCAGGGCGATGGCTTTGTAGTCCTGCCTCCAGCACCGGAGGTGTTGCCGGGGTAGGTTTGAAGGTGGCGTGTGTGTGCGTGTGTGTGTGTGTCTATTTTTTATTTTATTTTCAGGGCAAAGAGTCCCTAACAGGCCCCCAACAGCTCCTCAGACAGACAGACGCTCGAGGGATCACCTGTGGCCAGGGACCACCTAGACCTTCCGTCCTTAGTCCCACAGCCCTGAGGCCACCGGCCTCACGTTGCTCCCAGTCAGGTGGACAGAGGTGGGTGTGTTTTGAGGGTGGCCTTTGGGTACCCTTTATTTATCGATTTTCTTTTTCTTTTTATATATATATATATATATATTATTGATTTTGTACAGAGAGGAAGGGAGATAGAGAGTTAGAAACATCAATGAGAGAGAGTCATTGATCAGCTGCCTCTTGCACACCCCCCACTGAGGATATGCCCGCAACCAAGGTACATGCCCTTGACCGGAATCGAACCCGGGACCCTTTAGTCCCCAAGCCGACGCTCTATCCATTGAGCCAAACCGGTTTCGGCTGATTTTCTTTCTTTTTAATATATGTTTATTGATTCAGAGAGGAAGGGAGAGGGAGGGATAGAAACATCAATAACGAGAGAGAATCATGGCTTGGCCTTCACCCTCTTCATAAAACATTAGACTCACGCCATGGCCCACGCTGCTCCCCGCGCTCTCCTGAGGTCCCGTCTCCATCCCCGCGTCCCGGCCATTTGCCCGCGCGGTGTTCCTGTGTCCGGCCTGATTCCCCGGGAGGCGGTTAGGATGTCCCCGTGGCCAAAGCGTCAGGCGGGGACCGCCGCCCACCCCCACGGAGGCACCGAGCCCGCCTCCGCACTGGACAGACCCGCGGGGGCGCTGCGCGACCCAGACCCGGGACCGGACAACGTGTTTAAGACAAAAAGACTCATTCTCGCCCCTGCCAGGGTGGCTCCGTGGAGAGGGCGTGGGTCTGGGGGCGGAAGGGTCCTGGGTTCGATTCCCTGTCAGGCTGCGGGCTCCATCACCAGCGGGGGGCGCGCAGGAGGCAGCCAGTCCATGCTTCTCTCTCATCAAGGATGTTCCTCTCCCTCTCCCTTCTCTCGGAAATCGATAGAAAAGATACATAATAAAGATAAAATAGCCGAAGCCGGTGTGGCTCAGTGGATAGAGCGTCGGTCTGCGGACTGAAAGCTCCCAGGTTCGATTCCGGTCAAGGGCATGGACCTTGGTTGCAGGCACATCCCCAAAAGGGAGTGGGAGGTATGCAAGAGGCAGCTGGTCGATGTTTCTCTCTCATTGACGTTTCTAGCTCTCTCTCTCTCTCCCTTCCTCCTCTCTGTAAAATATCAATAAAATATATATTTTTTAAAAGATAAAATAAGACACTGCACCCCCCCCCCCGTCCCCGGACCCCGCCCACCGGCCAGGCCCCTGCTGGGAACTGGGACAGAAAACCTGTTCTCTCAGCGCAGGGGGCCAGCGGCAAACGGAGAGTTTGTTTTTAATGAGACGGAGGAGCTGAAATATATCCCGTCATCTGGTCACCGGGCACAGCGGGCCTCCGTGGGGGCGGCCATGGGGCGTGAGCGAGCCGGGCCCAGAGCCCCAGACCCGTCAGGGGGCCGTTTGTGTCACAATAGAGAGGCCCTGAGCCTCCTCCCCCAGCGCCCCCTCCGCCCTCCCAAGCCCGGGCGGGCGGGAGCCGGGCAGGCGGCTTGGTTTCCAGGAAAAAGCCACAAGTGTAACCTGGGCGGCGTCTGAGGCTGGGCCCTGGCCCTGTGGGGGGTGGCGTTTGTGGTCTTTCCCACAGCACGGCCTGGGAGGCGAGTGTGGGGGCAGTTTCTGTGGGGCAGGGGGCAGAGACGGTGTGTGTGGGGCAGACGCCCGGGTCTGTGGTAAGGGACCCAGATGCCCCTCCACGGGGTGTGCCGGGCGGGCTTTCTCTCTTCCTGTGGGCACAGAGGTGGCCGCCCTCCCCCCTCCTCACCCTCCCCCCCTCAGCCGCCCCCCAGAGGCCCTTCCATCTGCAAACACGCCTCTCCGCCCGGTTTGTCTAAGGCGAGCGCCGCCAAAGCAAACGCTCACAGATGTGTGTTTACCTTTGAGGCTTCTAAACAAGTTTCCTCCCGGGCGGGGGCGGCTGAATCCGCTCCTCCGCTGCAAATTAGCTCCTAAGAGGCCACTTCCCCGGGGGACCGCCCCCCGCTTCCCGGCAAAAAACCTACCCCCGTCCCCGGCCTCCACGTTCGCAGCCCCTCCTGGCTCTCAGGATAAACGCGGTTCATCCCCACTCCCACTCCCCACCCCGCTGGCAGGGCACAGCGGTGGAGCGTCCACCTCCGAACCACGAGGTCTTGGGTTCGATTCCCGGTCCAGGTGCAACAGGCCCTGGTTTCGGGCTCCATCCCCAGCAGGGGGCGTGCAGGAGGCAGCCGGCCCGTGATTCTCCCTCCTCCTGGATGTTTCTCTCTCCTTCCCCCTTCCTCTCTGGAACCAACAAAAATATATTTATGGGCCGGGCTTCCTCTCTTCCTGTGGGCACAGAGGTGGCCGCCCTCCCCCAAATACCAATGTATTATGATGTTGACTTTTTAAACTTTTATTAAAAAAAAACAACAACACACCACCAACCAACCAACCAACCCACCCCCCAAGAAAAAAGCACCAAGTTTGGCCGCGCCAGCCACCGTCCGTCTCCGGCGGGGAAAGTCCCCCGTTTTCTGTTCTTTTCTTTTTCCCAGGCCGGTTCACACGCAGGCGGGCGGCTGTGCGGGGAGCTCGCACTTCCCGGGGTGCGCCTTCTGGGGGTGCTGCTGCTGCGCCTTTTTGTAGATCCCGGCCCCGGGGCCGTGGCCGCCGCCGTGGGCGAGCGCGAGGGCCTGCGCGGGCGGCTTCCCGCGGCCCGGCCCGCGCAGGCGGCGGCCGCACACGCCGCGCCAGGAGCGCAGCGTCTTGGCCGTCCACACCCACACGCCGCTCGTGACGCCGGCCAGCAGCCCCATGGCCGTCTTGAGCAGGAAGACCTCCAGCGCGGGGATGGAGGCGGCCAGCCGGCAGTCCGGCCGCCGCGTGCGCGCGTCCAGGCGGCAGGCGCGCTGCGCCGCCAGCGCCCGCCAGCGCTCCGCGTGCCGCCGCTCGTACAGGAGGCAGCCGAGCACGCCGGCCGCCGGCAGCGTGTGCAGCAGCGCGAACAGCCCGATGCGCGCCATCAGCCGCTCCAGCTTGCGCGTGCTGCCGCCACCCGAGCGCACGGCGCGGCGGATGCGGAAGAGCGCGGCGAAGCCCCACAGCAGGAAGGCCGTGCCCAGCGCCAGGCAGCAGCCCAGCGGCGCCAGCACCAGCCCCGTGAGCGCCGGCGCGTCCAGGCCGCCCACGTAGCACACGCCCGTGAGCTCGTCGCCCGCCACGCGCCGCAGCGCCAGCGCCAGGCCGGCCTGCGCGGCGGGCACGGCCCAGGCCGCCAGGTGGAAGTAGCCGCTCAGCGCCTCGATGGCCTCGCGGCCCCACTGCCGGCCGGCCGCCAGGAACCAGGCGAGCGTCAGCACCACCCACCAGGCCGCGCCCGCCATGCCGAAGTAGTAGAGCGCCAGGAAGACCAGCGCGCAGCCCGCGCCCTCGGGCCCCGCCTGCACCACGAAGCGCCGCCCGCCGCCGTCGCGGCCGCACGCGATGCTCTCGGCGCCCGCCAGCAGGCGCGCCAGGTAGCCGAGCGAGGACGCGCCGGAGCACACGGCCAGGAAGGCGATGGGCCGCTCCGGGTAGCGGAAGCGCGCGGGGTCCGCCAGGAAGGTGAGCGCCGTGAAGGCGCTGGACGCGAAGCACAGCGCGGCCCACACGGCCAGCCACACGGCGGCCACGCGCTTGTCCTCGCGGCTCCACAGCACGTCCACGCCGGGCGCGCACCGCGGGGCGCACGCCGCGCCCCGGCCCACGCGGAGGAACTTGCCCGGGTTGGCGCAGGCGGCGGGGCGCCCAGGGGCGGGGACCCCGGCTTCCTGGGGCGGCGGCTCCTCCTCGGGGGCGTCTCCCGCGGGGGGACGCGGCTGCGGAGGGCGGGCCGGCGGCGGGAACGGGCCGGAGCCCCCGCGCGGCCCCGCCCCAGGCTCGTCCGACCCGTCGCCCGGCGCCTCCATGCACAGGAAGTTGGGGTCGTTCTTGGTGGGCAGCCGCCCGCAGTCCAGCGCGTCCGGCCAGCGGAAGCGGAAGCGCTCCAGCACCGGCGCGCAGCGGCGCCGCGCCGCCTCGCACATGGGCCGGCAGGCGGGGATGGGCGCCGACACCTGCTCGGCGCACATGGGCGCGAACAGCGAGCACAGCACGAAGCGCAGGTGCGCGTGGCAGCCCAGCTCCACCAGCGGCGCCAGCTCGTGCAGCCGCAGCGCCGCCTCGCGCTGCGCCGCGTGGCCCAGCAGGTTGGGCAGGCGCGTCAGGTTGTAGCCGATGCCGCGGCACAGCGGGATCTCGATGGGCTGGCAGCGCCCGTCCTCGCCGGGCCGCGCCGGGTCCAGGGCGCGGAGGGCGGCGCAGGCCCCGAGCAGCTGCAGCGCCAGCCACAGGCGGGGCCCGGGGCGCGGCGCCATGGGGCCGGCGGCGATGGCGCGGGGAGTGGGCCCCCCGGGCCGGCGGGCGGGTCCGCTGTCCTCAGAGTCGCTGCTCCGAGGCCCGGGGGGGTCGGGCTGGGGACGGCCTCGGCGGCTCCGCGGCCCCGCCCGGGCCCCCGCCCATGCCCGCCCGGCCTGCGGCCCTGCTCCCCGCGCGCCCGGCGGCCCCCCGCCGAGGAGACGGGGCCGCGGAGCCGAGGAGCGAAGCCGGCGGACAATCCCGGGAAGCGAGGGGGCCCGGGCGGCGGGTCCGGGCGGCAAACTTTGGCTTCTTCTGGGCGCGAGCGGGCGGGGGCGCGTCTGGAGCGGCGGCGGGGCGCTCGGTGGCCGGGCTCCTCCTCCACCACCCGCGCCGGCCTCGTCCCGGCCGGCCCGCAGCTGCTCGGAGGCTGGTCCCGGGTGAGAGGACTCGGGGAGGCGGAGGGGAGAGCCGGGTGCCGGCAGCCCCGCCCCCGAGCGCGCCCCGCCCCGCCCCGCCGCTGCTTTGCATGAGAAAGCGGGGCGGCCCCTGGGCTCCGGCTCCGGGCCCCGCGGGGCGCAGCGCTGTCTCTCTCGCCTCCTCCTCCCCCTTCCCGCCCGGACACCCCGCCGGGCGCCTCCGTCTGTCCTCCCGCCGCGCCTTCTCCCTCTCCCGCGGCCTCCAACTTTGTTCTCCCCGCCTCCTCCCGCCTGCGTGCGCCCCCCTTTCCCGGGGACCCCTCGGGATGGTCCCGCCCCGCCCCCCGGCACCCTGTGGTCTCCCGCGGCCTCCCGCCTGCGCCCCGTTTCCCGGAGAACCCCGGGCTGGGAGCCGGGCCGGCGGAGGAGGGGCGGGCCCGCGGCGGGTCCCGGGCGGAGGGGGGTTGGGTTTTCCAGCCGCGGCCGTAAAGGGGCCATAAACCCGCCGCCGTCCCCAGGCGGGCGGTCGCCGGGCCTGCGCGCGGGCGGCCCCGAGGCCCGGGCCTTTGAAATTTCAAAGGGAAGCGCCCCGGCGGGGGGGAGGGGGAGGGGCCAAGGATCCGGACTTTTAGGGCCGCTCCGGCGAGGTCTGCGCCCGGAAGGAGGCGGGGGAGGGGCAGGGCGGCTCCTGGGCTCGGACGTCCCCCTCCCCATTTCCCGGGAAGCAGGGGCTGGGGGGAATCCTGGGGGTCCCCCCCGCTGGTGGTTTATTGATCGGAATCATTTAGATGATGGGGCGAGGGGTGAGTCCGGCTGCACCCTCCTTGGCTACAGACCGTCGGTGACGGGGACTTGGGGGGCGGGGGGAGGCGGGAGGAGGCTGAGCCAGTGGGTGCCCGGGTCCCCGACGCCCCGGGAGGTGCCCACACCGCTTGGGTCTCCTAGAAAGTGGAGCGAGCGCCCCAGACGGAGGCCTCAGCCCGCCCGGCGCCCTGGGGCCAGCCCACCCCCCGCCCCACTCCGCACAGGACGCGCACACCCAGCCTCCCCCGCGGAGAGATGTCGGCCCGTCAATCACAGGCCCGGGGCGGGGGGGGGGGGGCCCTCTCAGAGGCCCTGAAGCCAGATCTCGGCCGGCTCTTCTCAGACTCCCGGGTCTCACCCGCAGGGGCCCTGGGAGGGCCTCAGGGTGGGAGGCGAGGGCAGAGGAGCCTGCCCCTGAGCTCCTGGGATCTCTCTCCCTCCTCCCACCCGCAGGCGGCCCTGGAGAGGCGGGCAGACACCCCTGGGGTCGGGGCTGAGCCCCAGAGAGAGGCCAGGGACCCCTAAGAACCCCCTCCCAAGGAGAAGCCACCGCCTGGCACTCCTCCCTCCCGGAAGCTGTCGCCCGCGGTGGCGAAGGGCACTGCCGCGGAGAAGGCTGAGCAGGATCGACTGGCTTTTATTTCCAACAAATCGGAGGGTTTTAGGTCTTTGAGAAACTCCAGAGACCTTATATCCACCCTTCCTTTCTTCCTTCCTTCTATCCATCACCCATCCATCCATCCCTCCATCCGTCATCCATCCATCACCTATACATCAGCCACCCATCACTCATCCATCCATCCATCCATCCATCACCCATCCATCCATCCCTCCATCCATCATCCATCCATCCATCTATCCATCCACCATCCATCCGTCTATCCATCTATCATGCATCCATCATCCATCCTTCTATCTGCCTTTCCTTTCTTTTTTCCATATATCCATTGTCCATCCATCATCCATTTGCCCACCCATCCATTCTTCCCTCTGTCCTTCCATTCATCCACTCTTCCCTCCCTCCCTCCCTCCCTCCCTTGCAGCAAACACTTAGGAGGAGGCTGAGCCTGGGACGGGCCAGGCTCCCAGAAGGAACAGGCATCTGGCCCCTGGCCTGGGATGTGGGGGTGTGTGTGGAGGAAGCGAGGTGAGGAGGGAGCGGGACCCTCCCCATTGCAGCCCGAGCACCCGTCCCCGCGCTGGGCCTCCGGAGTGAGACCCGCCCGCCCTCCCTGCGGCCCTGCCTCGCTTCCCTCTCCGCCGTGTGAGAGTCCGGGGGGCTCTCCCCAAGCCCAGAGTGAAAGCAGCTCCGGGGCATCAGCTGCCCCTCACAAAGTCCTTCATCGGACCCCCCCCCCCCCCATTTTCTCTTCTGTTTCCGTTTCCTCAGAAACCGTCGGGTAAACCCACGTGCAGGGCGAGGGGAGCGGCGGACCGGGCGGGTGTGAGCGGGGAGAGAGCTGCTCACTGATCCTCTCTCTGTCGCTCCAATCCAGCCGCGCTCAGACCCGTTATGTTGGCGATGGCCACTTCAGGCCGCTTTCTGCTCTCCTTTTCAGAAAAAAAAAAAGGGGAGGGGAGTGTGTGGGAAAGAGCCGGGCGCTTGGCCCAGCGAGCGGGAGACCCGCAGACGGACCGGGTTCCGGAGAGAGGACCGGTGCCGGCCGCCGCGGGTCCGAGGGACGGAAGGGGCCTTTGGCGGCTCCGGCTGAAAAGACGTTTTATTTTCGTTATTTCCCGGGTGTGTGTGTGTGGGGGGGGGTTGGGGGCGGGGGCTGCTCGGCTCGGAGCCGGCCGGCCCCCTGCTGCGCCCGGGCTGCCCGCCGGCCCCCTCCGGCGCATGTTATGGAGACTCCGGAGGCTCCGCGCCGCTCCCCGCGCAGCCCTTTCTTCCTTTGTCTCCTTTGAAGAATGACTCGGCCGTTTATTTACATATTTAACCGCGGATGAAAGGGGCGCGGGCACGTTCGGGGGCCGCCGTGGGAATAGCGGGCCCTGAGTGAATGGAGACCTCGGCCGCCGGAGCTGGGGACTCGGTGATGACACACGATTTCCAGGGACACGCGGAGCGGGGGAGGCTTTCTGCCCTGCCCTCTGCCCCCCCCCCCACCTAATAAAAATATACAAATATCTATCTGCCTCTTGGAAAATCCTGCACTCACACATCCGCTCCCTTCAAGTTCTTGGAACTGTTTTCTCAGAAAAGTGCGAGGGACTCTCTCCGGCGCCGGGAGGGATGCTGAAGGAGGTCTAAACGTCCTATTTTGGCTGGAAGAGGATGGAGGGAGAGGCCCCAGGCCCCTCCCCTCCGGCCACGGGGACCGTGGAGCCGTGTGGACGCGGAGGTCGGCGGGAACCGGAGGCCTGGCTCTCTCCCCGGGCGCCGCGGTCCCGGCCGGAACCGCCGCGGAGGGTTTCCGAACCGAGACCAGAGCAGCCTGCGCCGGCGCGTTAAGAGAGAGGCCGGTCCAGCCCGTCCGGCCCCCGGGGGGGGGGGGGACGGGACCCTCGGCCTCCGCCCGCCACAGGCCCGGGGCGGGAGCCAGCGCGGGGCGGGGCCGGGAGGCTGGGGACGTTTGAGAAGAGAAGGGGTTCGTCTACAGCCGTGCTTTGGGGGAGCCCCCGGTGTGCTGGGGGGCGAGGACTGACATCGCTAACGTCGTCGATGGGAACCGGGATGCGGCTCCTGGGCCCGGCGAGCCTCTGGGCCAGCATTCCCGCGGCCCCGGAGCCACCCTGGGTGGCGTTTCTGCAGAAACAGGGTCAGATTAAAAAAAAAAAAAAAAAAAAAAAACCTGGAGAATTCTACTCCCAACAGGAGGCCTGCCTTCCCGCCCCCACACTCCCCGGCAAACACCCGGCCGTGGCCGTGGAGCCGCCACGGGGAAGCCGTGCCCCGGACCCGGTCCAGCGGGGCCGAAGTTTTTCCTGCAGCTCAGACCGGGCGGGAGCGGGCGGGAGGGAGGGGAGTGAGTGCGGGCAGGGGTGTGTGTGGGGAGATGGGGGGAGGGTTTGGGGGACACAAAGCGCCGCGGCATCAGATGGCCGAGCGGAGCCCCCCCCCCCCCCGCCCCGCCCCGCCCCTCAGGCCGCGGGGTGAGGCCGCGGGCCCTGGGCCGGGTTTGAGCCGCGGAGCCCGCGGGGGGCCGGCGTGTGAATTGCAAATCGGAGCCGCTCTCTAATCCCCTTTCAAGGCCCGGCTCTGGGTCCTCCGGGGAGACGGCGCCCCGCTGCCCGGCCGCTTCCCACACTCCAGCAACAACGCCCCCCGCCGCCCCCCCAAATTAGATTAACCGCCGCCCGTTAGCCTTTCCCCGCCGCCCGCCGGCGCCCCCGGTCACAGCGACAGGCGCTCCTTTTCATCTCCCTCCGGCGGCGACGACAACAAACCCCGCCCCCACCCCCACCCCCACCCAGAAAAGGAGGGGGGAGGCACAAAGCCTGCGGCCTGGCCGCCTGACAGAGGCTTTATCTGTTTAGAACATAGGAAGGCCGAGCTGCTCCTGTTCCCAGACACACACGTACACATGCATACACACATGTACATGCACTTGCACACACAGACACACGTACGTGCACATATGCGCACACAGACAGGCACATGTACGCGCGCACACGCACACACATACACACACACAGAGACACACACACATATGCACACACATGGACCCTTCTTCACCTGGGATGGGGTGGGCCGAGAAAAGGCCCTTCAGCCTGCGATGCTGTCTCCGCTGTTTCCAGAAGAATCAGATGGATAAAACAATAAAGACAGAATTCCAGAAAAGTGAAACTGTGTG